CCCCCACCCCCGCTCTCATTGCAGGGAAAACCAAAAACCAAGGGCGATGTTGCAACCAGAAGCTTGCAGGCGGGGTGGAACTCTCTGTACTCTCTTTGGTCGGGGGAGTCTGGATCCTGCCCCCTCGGCCACTGGCCACCGGGAGGCTGAGCTCACTCCACTGGCTTCCATTCCTCTTCTTGATTGGCACTTTAATGAGGGCAGAAGGGGCTGACCCCCTGCCAGGGGGCCAGTTCATGCCCCGTTTATCTCACAGCTCCAGGCGGACTAGAACAACACTGCAGGCGAGCAGCCGGCCAGGAGCCCCCGCCCTCGGTGATGGATTGAGTGACCGCGGCGGGTTGGCAGCTGAAGTGTGTGGTGGCCACACTGTCCTGTCAGCGCGCAACAAAGGGGCCAGCCTGCCCCTCCTGCTCGCCAAGCTGCTCCCCCCCCCGGGGGAAAGTGACAGGGGCTCCCTCTGAGGGGCTGAGTTCACTCTGCCTGCCCTCCCACCAATGCCAATGCCAAGTTTCAAAATACAGGCCTGGGGCTGGAGCCCAGTGAGCTGGAGGAACTGTTCGGGGGGGTGGTGCAGAGAGGGTGGGGGAATTCTGGGCTTGCAGGAAGAGCTAGCACAGAAAACCTCCTCTCAGGCTCCTAGCTTTGGGGTCCGAGACGGAACGGGCTTCTCAGCAAACCCCCCTGCTGACTGTGCTGGGCCTTTTACTTGCTGTGCAACCTTGAGTGAATTTCCTAACCTCTCTGAACCTGAGAGCCCTCATCTGTAAGGACCACCACTCCTTAGAGCTCCATGACCAGGTCCCTGCACCCACTACAGGAGACCTGTTGGCAGAGCCTCCCCTGCTAGGAAGCAGGGTCCTACAAGTGAGGCCTCAGTTTACCTGGCTGTCTCCAGCATCTCCATTTTCCACATGGAGAGACAAGCTCGGAGAGGAAAATCTGCCTGGGATCCCACAGAGAGTAGAGGCGGATCAAGGATTCTGACCCAGTGTTGTCTGGCTCCAAAGTCTATGCAGACGTTCCCAAAGCCCCAGCTTCTGGGCTGGAATTTCCCAGTAAGGATGGGTGGGAAGCCAATGACATAGCTCCTGAGCGCTTGCAGAGGGAAAGAGCCAAAGCCTCTTTTGGAGAGCTCCCTTTGCAAATCATGAAGTACTCAAGGTGGGGGACATCCTCACTGTCCTGGTGCCGCAGAGTGAACTTGAGGTCTGAGCTGTTCCCTATACCTTGAGGGACATTCCTCCTGCTCAGGGGAGTCACAGTGGTCTGGCACAGCCCCAGGGTCCCTCCGTCCAGGGTCCTCCCACCAGGACCCAAATCTGTGCCGGGGACAGGACCCGTGCGGAGTCCCTGCTTCTTCACCCCTAGAGCTGGGAAGTGGTGGGGACAGAGCTGGACAAATGATTCTTTGGGTCCCAGTGAACCCTGGAAGGGGAGGAAGGGGTCTTCCTGGGCCTTCCCAGGCCTCTCTGGAGGGGAAAGAACCAGCCTCCCCTTGGAGGAGACTTCACCTCCCCATGAACTCCCAAAGGCGGGAGGCCAGGCTCTAGCTGAGGTCAGAGAAAGCAGCCGGGCGAAACTGGGGCTCTACACAGCCTTCCTTGCTCCCCGGACACCTCTCCCGCTGTCATATGACGTGGAGCGGGGACAGACGGGCCCCTGGGGGTGGGCTGAACCAGGAGAGAGTCCCCCTAAACACTAACCCAGCGGACCAGGAGGGAGCCAGCCTTTCAGCCCAGAATCCCGGTGCCAGACCTTGACTCTAGCTGTGTGGAAGCTTACAGTTCTGTTTCCCACCCCAAGCGTTCTGCGTGTGCTATTCCCTTGGTCTCAAAAAGACTTTGCCCACTGCACCTGGTTAACTCCCAGCCAGCCTTCAGAAATCACCTGAGATGTCACTACCTCTGGGAAGCCTTCCCTAACTGACATCCCTGGGCCCCCAGATCAGACTAAGTCACATTCCTGTGTCATGCAGCCCTCTAACTCCATGAGCCCTTCCTTTGTAGTTTATCCCTGTTAAATGGCACCCTCCGTTTATTTGTTAATGATGGTTATTTGGTTCATGATGACGAGCGCATGAAGTCAAGGGCCATCTCTGTTCACTTGGATGTCCCCGGCCGCCAGCAGACAGGCTGGTACACAGTAGATGCTCAATAAATATTCACTGACAATGTGCTGTTAGCCAGTGTGTGTCTCCCCATAAACTGTGGGCTCCACTGGGGCGGGGACGTGTTTATTTTATTTACCGTTATATCCCCCAAATTCAAGACTTGCACGTAGAAGGCTGCAAATTTGCTGCAAAAGAAGAAAGAAAGTGAGAACAACCACCAACACAAAAATCAAGAAAACTAACCCAGTTTGGGGCAAAAGCCACCCAGAATGGGGGAGATTCTGAGTCCTTTCATTTCAGAAGAATGATTCCACAGGCTTCAATGAGCCAAGTCCCTGGGGGAACCATGACATCAGGGAAAGCTGACTGAGCTTGACACAAGGTCAACTAACTTACTCCAACTGGTAGACCTCCAGATTCTGGCTTCTGCTCACTTGGGTCTTGGGCAACCAAAGGAGAGGGGGGACTCTAATGCGACCCAGGACAGCTTTGGGGAAGGAACAGATGTCAAAACCCAGAAATTTTCCAATATTCTAAATTCTGTGGACAGAGTAAAATGTCAAGGAATATGATGTATAGGAAGAATGGCTACAATATATAAAGAGCTCATTAAAATAAATAAGAAAAGAAAATCACGAGTCCAATATATGTGAACAAAGGAAAGGAAAAGATCGTTCACATACAAAGATATTGGAGTAAGGCAGTTGGCGGGCCTTGAGCGCTTATCCTGCGGTAGGCACTCATTAAGAGTTTTACATCTCGTTTAATTATCAGAGGAAGTGCAGCAAGAAAATCCAACCAACAAATGTAGAGTTTGGTGACAGTGACATGTTCCTAACTTTTTCCTACACTATCTGTGAAATGCTGTAACCCTTTTATTTGTCCCAAGAAAACCCCTGAAGTCCCATCTTAATTAAATCTCTCCAACCAAGCAGATTTCTGATATCATCCATTCATTCGGGTGTGAAAGACGGGCAACTACTTCCGTATTCACAACCCCGATAGCTGTGTCTGGGATAAAATTAACTTATTTCTGAGTTGTCTGGGTTCTGCGAATAATGTAACTACTATTGTATATCCAAGCTACTCTTGGAAGACTCAGGGCAGTTCTGAGAAATACTAGAAAGACAAAAATACATATTGCATTTACATATTATAAGCTCTTGGGGCAAAGAGCATGTTTTGATTTGGGTACTCTGAAAGTGCTGTGTGGGCCTAAAGCTCCTATAGATATGTAAATAAAAAGAAAAAAATTGGCTGAATTGGAAAAATAAATGATGACAATAAGGCCATGAGGAGGTGGAGGTGTTATTCCCTTTCTATGTGATGAGCTGGGGCTCAGAGATGAATTCACTGGTCAAGCTCACTTGCTCCAAATTGCTACATTATAAAACATTTCTTTACACTAACAATCTAAAAAGAGCAGATTAAGGACGCACTGTGAGATTATTTTATATTTACTAAATTGGCAAAAAAAAAAAAATGTTTTTAAGGTCACACCCAGCATTGGCAAGAGTGCAGAGAAATTCATATCCTTACCCTGCTGCTGATGGAATTGCCAATTGGCGTCACCCTTTTGAAAAGCAAGGGGCTGACACCCAGAATAAAAGTCATAAAACTACTTGTGTTCTTGGTTCCTGCACCCCCCCCCCATTGGAATCCATCCCAAGAAAAATGTTTAAAAGGTGCAAACCCCCACAGCTGGTAAAATTTCCATGACCACAAGTTATCAATGGCAAAAAAAAAAACCCCGACACAACCTATACACCCATTAGGAAAGGAATTTACCAAAACTATGGGAAAGGTGCATGAAGGAAGAGTCTGAAGCCATTGAAATGATCTTTAAAGTGAGAATTCTGAAGGTTATGCACAGAAAACATCAGGGTGTTAAGTAAAAATTGAGAATCATAAACATAAGTAAAAAGCCTGGGCATGTACAAATTTTGTGTGTGCTGAGCTGAGTCCCAGGACCATTCGCAGGCAGGAAAATGGTACTTGCTCGGGCAATGGGTGAGTGCCCAATTTTTTTTTTTTCCACTTTCTTCTTTCTTGACACGACACCATCTTTTTAATAATACTAAAGAAATACTTTAGAACAATGAGCCCATGGGCGGACCATCTGCTCCGGGAAGCCCCTGGCCCAGGAACTGTGGGAAAGACAGGAAGCAGAAAGGTCAGTGTGCCCCAGGGAAATCCCACTGTTGGACAGGCCGGAATTCAGGGAGAACCTGTTTCTTTGAGCGGGGAGGGGGGGGGGCGGGCAGGATGCTGATGGGGGCATGATGCCCCATTCTTAAAGTTGTCAGCTCTCTTTGAAGGATCCCATAATTTTCTTCCTCCTTCCTTCTTTCCTTCCCTCACTCCTTCGACACATCTGCGTGGGACACCTGCCCCGTGACAGATGCGGCTGTCGTGGGGCGATCAGGGAAGGCAGCCCTCACACTGCAACATGGATGCTGACACCTGAATGCCTTTTAACAGTATTTTAATTTTTACAAATAACGAGTGTGTATTATTTTTATAACCAGGGAACACAGAGCTAATTTCATGTCAGGAAGTGCAAGAAAGGTGATGCTTTATGGAAGATTTCCTGGCATCAGGGTCTCTTTGTAGGGAGGGCCCAACTCTCATCTTTCCACGCCTGGCCCAAGTTCTCTGCCTCCGCGGCCCCGCTCTGGAATGACGGGGTGAGGTAAGCGGGGCCCATCCCCAGTAGCGCCCTGTCCACCACAGCCAGGGTCCTGAGCCCCAGAAGCCCCAGGTGGGAGGGAATGACTACCTCCGTGCCGCAGAGCCCCCTCCTGGGAACACAACCCGGGGGGACCGGGTTCTCCACATCAGTTGGCTGCCAACCAGATACACTTGCTGCCTGGGGAGATGGCTCTGGGTCCGATGGTGGAGCAGGCAGCTTCTCGGAGGCCTCCTCCCCACCCTCCTTGCCCACAGACGGCCCGGGCCTTCCTGCTGGCGGGGACCAAAGCAAGCAGGTTCTCATTCCCCCCAGGGGCTGCGGCCACATTTCTGTGCGGAAGAGGAACACCAATGCTCACGCCTTCCTGCCGGGCCGCCCTCCACCCTCTCCCCGGGGCAGTGCCGACTCCCAGGCAGCTCTCCTCTTCCTCCATCCCCGGGATGGTCGGCACTGAGTTCCCATCTTGCAGAACCTCCACCGAAGCTCCAGGTGCTTAGGTCCACCCAGACCACCCACCTCCATCCACAGGGCTTGTCACTGCCTAGTCCTCCGTGCTTCTAGGTGTCCCTGTCAGGGAGGCAGGCTGCCTTGAGCAGATGACAAGAGGATAAGCTACCAGAAGGGCCAAGGGCAAATCCAAGGTCGTGGCCTTGGCCCGGCCTCCGCTGCTGCCCATCAGCCCTGTGCCCCAGGCCTGCCCCGCCCTGCGCCTCACCCCACACCGCTCCCTCCACAGGGGTGTCTCCTCCTTACGATTCTGACCTCAGCTCCCATGGCACATCCTGCAGGCGGCCTTCGTCGACCACCCCAGCCACCGACGGCTATTTGCCCTTGTGGCTGGCCTGTGTCCTCGTCTATTCGTCCATTCACCTGCTCCCGTGCTGTCCACTCAGCTGTCCCAGACTCCTGAGCCCAGCTCATTCTGTGTCCCTGGGCCCGGGCCCAGTGCTCAGCATGCAGCGGGCGCTCATCCGCACGTGCCCCGAGAGCCAGTGAACACCTGGCAACGTCCAGCCCCCTCCCCCTGCTGGTCTCCCGGCCCCGCGTACCTGCGCGTTAGGGTCGTGCATTTCTTCCCAGCACCGTCTATGCATCCAGGCTGGACGGGAGAACGGGACAGTGGGAGGAGACAGCCCGGTGACCGTCCTCAGGACCTCCTCCTGCTCTTCTGCAGACTCCCTTCCTGGTGATGCTCCCTGGGCTCTGCCCAACACTGGTGGCCTCCCCTGGCACACACTTCGTAGCCTGACGACCCATGAGGCTGTGTCTGTCCATGGGACCTGGCACAGCCCTATTTGCGGCACCGAGCCTGGGACAATGGCCATTGCTTGGAGGACCCCTCAGGCCCGCTTCGCCATAGAGAGGGCCTCTTGTCTTGTCCCCGAAGATGGAGCTGGTCCCCGTAAGGTGTGGCTCAGGCCAGAAGCAAGCCAAGAGAGGGAGGTCTGGGATGAGGGGTCCCGCTGGAGATCCCGCCCTAAACCTCTAGGGCTATTTTCAGGAAAGACAACTCTGGCCCCACCGTAAGAGTCTCCGGCTCCATCAAGGGCACGTGCCGGGTCTCAGAATCGTGCGACCCTCTCAGGGTGAGGGTGTTGGGTGGGGGGAGGGCAGAGGCGGGGGGTGCAGGAGTTCAAACTTCAGGCTGGGCAGGCGAGACGAGAGCAGCTCCTCGCCGGGCCGATGGCCTGGGAGCCAGAGGGCTCCATCCTCACCCTCTCGCCTCAGGTGGTCGTGGTGGTGGCTGGGGGAAGAGGCGGGTGACAACCCCCCGGAGAGGTGACAGCCAGGGGGCGGGAGATGCTTCCACCTGAGTGGGCGTGGAGCAGGTTAGCTGGGGGAAAAGTTCACTGAGAGGGGAGCTGTCTGTTTCCCTCGCTTAATTTATCCACTATTTGGCTAACCTTGCTCTGAACCCAGGCCCCGAGACCCCTTCCTCTCTCCCCCGCCTCCCCACTGGGCTCCCGAGCCCTGCCACCAGACCTCCCGTGCTGTGCGGGGAGGTGGGGGACACACCGGCCTGGAAGAGGCCTCGGCCCGCGGGCCGCCCTGGGGGAGGGGCTGGCTGCCCAGTCAGGCTCTTATTTATGACCTGAACCTTCCCATCCTTAGTAACCAAAATAAAGTCCCGTTGCTGTCGAGGTCCAGGCTCCCAAACGCCAGACTTGGGCCGAGCGAGCGCTCGGAAGGCGCCCCACCCCGCCCGCCTCCGCCAGACACACAACCACTGCTCGGGACACACTGACCTTTCCTTCGGGGGCCATCTGTCATCCTGGCCTGGGGCACGTCACCGGGCGCATGGACCAGCTGGTCGTGGAGAAGGGGCTGGCCTCCTTCCCTGGCCCTGGGGTGGCCTCTGGCCCGGCCTCCGGTCTGTCTTGGCCTCTCCGGGGGCTGGGGGCGCCGACCCCTCCTCATCTGAGCCTGCTTTATTCCTGACATGTGCAGGGGGGTGGGGGGGAGGGTCAGCGGGTCGGGAGGGATTTGGGTGGGGGGAACCGGAGAGGACAGCCATAGCTGTGACAGCCGGCCCTGGCACTTACCACGTGCGATCTCCGGGACCCACCCGGTGGCCCCGGTCCTGGCTGGCAGAAGGGACTGGGCTGGGCAGAGCCGCCATCCGAGGCCTCCGAGCCAACCCAACAGGCCCGCACCGGGAGCCAGCGTGCTCCCTCGCGTTCTCACCTTTCATTCATTAAATCTCTTCTCAGAACTATGGAAGTGCCCCGTGTGGCAGCCACCAGTGACAACAGAAGATGCATAAAGCATGAATCGTCCCATCCCGCCCTCCCCACCATCTCAGGCGCCCTTCCTCCGCTCGCTCCGTGTGCACACATGCTCACAGACGGGGGGTGGGGGGGTGGGTGGGCAGATGCAGGGGTGCGTGAGTATGCCCGCGGGCACCGCAAGCGGCCGGGGACCCCCTTGTTTGTGCAATCACGGGACCCCACGGCCCCGTCACTGGGCGGCTGTTGACTAACTGTCTGGAGTGGGGGCAGCCCCCAGGCCCCACGATGCCACCTCCAGCGAGCTCACCCATCCGTCACATCCGCCCCTTTCTGCTGGGGGCCACCCCCCTCTCATCGGGATTACCCAGTTGCTCCCCACAATCAGTTCCCTGCATCCAGAAAGACCTTTCTAAAAGCCTGATCATGTCACTGCCCTTGGGAGAAGGGCCCAGATCCTTACCAGGGCCCAGCAGACCCTCTCTGATTCGGCCTCCCTGCTTCTGCAGAGCTGGTGTACCCCTCCCCGCCCCCCAGGCTGCTCTAGTCTTCTTTCCCTGCCTCAGACACTCCTCTAGCCGGGCCTGCGCTCTCGGCTCCTCCGGAGGGAACAGGCCCGGGCCTCAGCTTACATGTCCCCTCTCTGGAAGGCCACCTCCACCCCCATCAACATGGCACATCTAAGTCCGGATCACACGGTCGCGGAAGAGACCGGTTGCAAGCTCAGTGAGGGCAAGCCCTGCCTGTGAAGTTCATGGCCCCCACCGCTCCCCACCACCCGCCCCCAGCCCCAGCACCTGACCCGTGATGGGCCTTTCAGAACTCTTGGTGGAAGCTGAGTGGGACGGACGGTCGGGGGCAAACCATGCGCCATTCTCACATTTCCTGAATCCCTGCATCCCGGGACCACTGTCCCCTGGCTTTCAGGGGCCACAACTCGCCCCAGAAAGTCCTCTAGCTCCGGCCTTCCAAACGCCATTTGCTCTCGGCCGTGGATGGGGAGGGGCAGACAGGGGTAGCGGCGAGCCCGGGAGATTCCCTGTCCCCCTCAGGGCAGCCCCACGAAGGACTGCCAGATAGGACTGGTCAGCTGCCAAGCATGCCAGAGCCAACTGCCCACCGGGGTGCCTGCTGACTGCCAGCCAGTAGGGGCCAGTGGGCAGCAGGGGGCCGCCAACCGCCTGTCACCACACCGGCCAAGTGTCAGTCAGGAGAGGCCAAAGTCCCGCTCCGGGAACTCAGGACGGCCCATCAGGCACGGCCCAGGGGCAAGTCAGGGAGTCCGCCAGCGCTCATTCTGCCGATCGCTGCTTTCGCCACCCAGCATCCTTTCACCTTTCTTCTGTCCAGGGCAGCCCATTGGACTTCTGGGGACCCACCCCGGTTCCAACTCTCAGTCCAGGAGTTCCGATGGGCTTAATGCCCTTCTAGGCTGCAAGGACAGCCCGCACGGCTCAGGTCTGGCCAATCAGAGCATTGCATTCCTCTGGCTTCTGTGATTGGATCACAGTGGACACGTGACTCAACTCAAGCCAATCATAACCAATCAGAACTAACTTGGATTGACTAGGAAAATCCAGTCTCGCTTTTTTCTGCTGCCCTTGAACCTGGGAGGGTGTGAGGCTGGAGCTGAGCAGCTGTCTTGCCCTCAGTAGAACAAAATGTCTGAGAGTGAAGCCAGCCCAGAGGATGTGAACTGAAAGACAGAGAAAGAGAAACTGGGTTCTGAACCAGGTCCTGGAAACATTGCTAAAACTCCTGGATCCAGCCATACCTGAAATCACTTATCATTGGGATTTCCGATTATGTGAACCGATAAATCCCCCTCCGCCTTTGGCCTTAGCAAGAATCACTGTGGGTGGGACCCGTAGTCACTCAGAGAGTCCGCCCGTGTCCCATGCAGGGCCGTCTGCTGGTCAGGGTACCCGCTCTTGTCTGAAGCCCAGGGTGGCTCCCAGAACAGACCAACTCCTGACCGAAAGCCAGAGGCACACAGCTTCCATATGTGCTTTCCCTGCTCCTGGCTGCTCAGGTGTGTGATCGTGACTCCCCTGATCAGATCCTCCCTCAGCCTTTGACTCAAATAAGTGATGGAGAAGTGGGTGGTGGGGATTCTCTTTGGTGGCGGCCAGAGCCAGGATTGTACAGATGAGGAGACAGGCTCCGGGAGGTTAAGGGACCTGCCACACAGAGCTGGGACTCAGATTTGGCTGGCTCCAAAGTGCAGCCTCTTCCCCTCTCTGTGTGCACCCTGGCTCCCGGCTAGGTCAGCTCCCCGGGCCGGCAGCTGACCCTCAGCCAGTGGGGGCCCTGAGAAGACATTGGCCAGGCCAGAATTCTCCTGTTCCCCCATCCACGCCCCCACCCCCGTAAGAAGCCCACTGCCACGGGGCGTCCATCGTGGCGTTTTGGGGCAGTTTGCCTCGCTCTGTGAACACGCCAGGACTACCCACAGCTCGCCCCAGGTGGGGCTCTGCGCACGGTCCCCAGTGTGACCTCCCCAAGCAGGGTCCAGTTACATCGCAGCCAGCAGCTAAGGAACAAACGCAGCTTGTTTCTTCCTCCAAGTGCTTATTTCCTTTGTCTTGTGAACATTGAAAAATGAAAGGAATGATAAGGATTTGGGGGCGGGAAAGGGGGGGGAGAAGCCCGGAAAATTCTGCAGTGTTGGCAGAACTCGCCAGGAGGGCGGCGTGAGGGAGTTTTCAAACCGAGTCCAAAGACAGAGAAACTCAAGTGTGCTGCCGGCAGGGGAGGCCGGAGGGGCCTGAAGCCTCCTGGGTTCCGGGCTCCCGCCTGGGGGTCGGGGCGCACCCTGGGGTGGGCGCTTCCCGTCCGTCCTCCTCTGGAGCTGGCCTCTCCTCGGCCAGGACACCGAGCCTCCCTGGGCCTCTGCCTCTCCGCCGGCAGGTGCCCCGGGTGCCAGCTCCCATTGCTCCGGCTCGTGATGGGAGAGAAAGGGGGCAATGTGTGTGCTCAGCTGGGGGCCAGTGAGCCCCTTGGGGGACACGTGGGGAATGGCTTGGTTGTCACAACTAGGAGGGTAAGGCGCTCCTGGCGTCTAGTGAGTAGAGACCAGGGAGGCTGCCAAACATCCTACAGCGCCCAGGACCATCCCCACGGAGGACTGTCCCCATCTAAATGTCCGTAGTGCCTCGGGGAGACCCTGGTGTGGCGCCCTGAACACTTCATGGTAAATGTTGGTTTTAGGATTCAGGGGCCCATCTGGAATGTAACGGGAGGTGGGGGGTGGGGAACGGGGCATGCTGTGAAGAGGGGAGCCCACCGTGGTGTTGCCTCCGACAAAGGCTCCATCTGACAGGCTTGCGTCAGCGCCTTGCGCTCCTCCATGGACCTGCCCTGCTGCTCATGGGGCGTCCGCTCCCCAGGGGAAGGGAGCCAGATGGACCCGGGGGGCAAGGACACAGGATGGCCCGGAGTACCCTCCCAGAGTGCGGCCTGGGTGAATGGACCATGGTGGACACACGCGCTGGACGATTATTCGGCCGTGCAAAGGCCCGGGTACCCTCGGCCACGGGCAGGGTGAGGCTGAACACGTTTGCTAAGGGAAAGAAGCCGGACACGAGAGAGCACATCCTGCACGCGTGTTCCCAAAGGTGTCTGCGCTGGCGGTTGCACGACCCTGTGACTATACCAAGTGCCACCGCAGTGCACGCTTGGAGCGCTTGAACTGTGCGGCACGTGGATTCTGTCTCAACACAGCTGCGCACACGGAACCTTCATCAGGGCTCGGGCCCACCTCCCGCCCGGTGAGACAGGCGCTGAGGGAAGGAAGGGAGAGGCTGAGGGGGGGCAGCCCAGGCCTCCGGGGGCAGGTGCACACCTCCCCGAGGCCCCGTCCGGGGCGGGCTGGTGTGCGCTGGAGACGGGGCTATGCAGGCGTGCCCAGGTGACCTTAGCGACCTGGCGTCTAGGCTTCAGGGCCCTGCAGAAATATTCCCTCCCAGCTGCTTCCATCCAGGGAAGTCGGTGACCCCCGGGTCACACAGCTGAGCGCTGGCCGACCAGGCTGCCCTGCCCGGGCTAGTTTGGGGTGGCGGCCCTGCCTCCAAGGCCTGCCATCCACCTGAGGGGACCCACGTGCCGAGAGCAGCTCCCCAGCAGGGCCGTGGCCATCTTGCCCCTCCCGGCGATGCCTGCCCGGGGGACCTCTGTGCTTATTTTCTTCCCGAGCCACCGAGAGACTTGGGCGCAAAGGACCTGCCCCGAGCCAACCGTGGTGGGAGGGGCCAGAGAAATGTCCTGCCCCCCACCCCCCGCCGTGTGCTGGAAGACAGCAGTCCCCCCCACCCCCCATGAAGCACCTCCCTGTCAGGCCTCTTTGCTCTGCCCTCCCCGGGGGACCTCCTCCAACTGCTGCACCTACTACCCGTGCTGGGGCCTCCTGAGCTCCAGCTTCGTTCCACCCCAGCCTGCTGTCACAGGGTTGGCCAAGCCAGGCCAAGATGGTGACGCCAGGTGCCCTGAAGGGCACTTGGGTCCTGGCTGGGAGCTGTGGGAGCCGCCAGCATCATGTCATGCCCTTGAGTTTCGGAGCCTTTGCACTGGACACTCATCCCTGCCCAGGAGGCCAGAGGGCAGGAACATCTTATCCTTTCTACAGGAGAGGAG